GATGCCCATGCTACCCCCATTCGCTGAAACACAAGCGTCAATGACCAGACGGATTTGAGTAACAGGCATCGACAGCAATTGAAAAATTAAGTCTGAAATAATATTAGCAGAAGCCCCCGTGTCCACTAAGACGCAAACGTCTACCCCCTGTATCGAACCAGGCACCGCCGAGAATCACGCAGCCGCCGCGACCACGCGACGCACTAATTTGTTTCATTGTGTCATCGAATTAGGCCAACCCCGTGCAACCGAACTCGGTTGCATGGTGTCAACATACGACCCGCGCTGTGAACAAAGGAGCCCCGAGTCATGAGATGACTGGGGTTGCGAAATGAGCCAGGTGTCCGACGTGTTCCATATTGTATATATAGGTCTTTTCCCAAAATTTCATATTCGGAATAATTCTGCCAATATATATTTTTTATAATAAATAAATGAATAAAACAAGCACCCTCACTCCGCTACCTCTCACAAGCCACACCAAGCATATGGAGGCCATTAAAAAAACATTAAATAACAAACTCCAGGGCAAAGGAAGGTTAACGACGAACTGGGAATCTCCAGGTTGTCAGATGACCATATGACACGACCTCCCCAAACGCTTTGGACAGTTAACAAACAAATCTCCAGAGCCGTAAAACACAGGCACAGAGCAGGGACAAACGGACATGATAACTGGAATTTTTTTAATATGGTAAAAGTTCGAAGCTTGACTATAAGAATAAGTCGACATTTTAGACTGCAGTATTACTTATTTTATTTTGTATTGTATCTTTCTATCTATGTAACTTTACCAAGTGAATTCTGGCAGTCAAGAAAGTGAGGGCTTGGTTATATCTCCAGCCTCGGGAAATAAAAAATATAACTCTAGAATAAAACACCGATCCCTGGCGACACAGACTTATAACAAAGCTTGGCAAAACCCTCGGAATAATGGTGGTAACGAGGGGCATTACGAATCTTGGTTAAACATAAACCAAATAATAACCACGATCTTCTTTGGTTCTTTTGGTAAGGTCATGTAGAATGAGAATAAAATAATAAAATAACACAATAACATTCTCACGACGTTTCGAGCAGCTGCAGCTGCTCGAAAGAGTGACGAGCAACGTCTGCAATCAACCTCGAGGAAGGGCGGAATGCGCCAAGCATCGACCAAGCGAGCAGTACTGCAAGCGGCAGGCTCCAGGGTGGGTCCTGCAATCGACCAAGGATGGCGAGGCTTGCCGAGTAGCGAGATGTCACCGAGTATGAGCTCAGCGCTGACAGAAGAAGTATCGCTCAAATTTATTCCACACTGAGTGCCAGCTCCCTCCCGGCAGCTGCACGATCAAGGAGAGAGATAGAGTGACTAACAACGACAAGCAATCAACTGGGAGAAAGGGCGGAAAGCGCCAAGCATCGGCCAAGCCAGCATTGCAGAGAACCAGCTGCATGCGCAATCGTGCTTCGCCAGAGAGCACGGAGCAGGAGAAATAGCGCAGCAGTGCCACCAGCGCCACCGAGCAAGGGTGGTAGCTGCCAGCGGACAAGCGGCGAGCGCTGTCGAGCACCTTCAAAGACAAGCGTCGGGCCGACTCAGCTCATCCAGCAGGGAAAAGAGCCTGACCAGCCGCCCATGATGAAGAGGAGAGCACCATCGAGAGTGTGTGTTCGACCCACACACACCGACCAGCACCAGCTGGGAACCAAGACAAGAGTGAGGAACGGCGACCAGCGGACGAGATGCGGGCGCTATCTGATGACGGAATCATCGCACACCGCCGACGGCGAGCGTTGTGCCAACTCTCTCTTCATCCAGCAGTGGACAAGTAGCTGCTGCCGAGCGAGAGAGAGAGAGGACGCCGTGTGTATGACCCTCCCCCATACTCACGCACTCACAACGCATTGCCCGACGTCTGCTTAATGCAAATAATTAATCCAGGAGACAAGACCACCAACACACACATATCGGGACTAATAATAAGAAGACCAATGATAAGAGTGCATCAACTATTAGCTGATAATGAAGAACATTGCTGCCCATTGAGTTACGTGGATACGGTCGTTTTTAGTCGTTCTTTTTGTTAATTGCATAAATTACCAATGAATTCATTGATTAAACTAAACGTTAGACACCTACGTTATGAATCCACACACTTACAGGGAGACTATTGTGTTGAAATCTATATTTTGATCACAGAATCTTGCCCGCGAATGCATTGAAGCCCTAGTCCATTGATAAGCATTTGCTGAAGCAGGCACACTGCCGCACACCATTGTTCCAAGACATTTAGTTAATTACATAATCTTACCAATGAATTCATTGAGGTCTACTTTTACCTTCGGGACATGTTTCTTTATTGCCGTTCGTATGAATATCGTCACATTAATTTTTAAGGACTTTTTCCTATCGCCGTATATGCTCGCGTTACTCTGAGGAATTAATCGATTGTTCTGTTACCCAGTTTAACAAACGTAATCATTGAGGTTTAAATGTATGGATCAATAAGGAGAACATCTCCAGGAGTACTGTGTTGACAATTCCAAGCATAAGAGTTTGCATATTAGAGTGTTATGTTTTTGGTTAGAATTTAAAATTTCTTAACACAGAAGTGTCTGAGTGGTGCCTTCCTAAGTTCATGCATATTCATCTTAATTATGAGAACTGTATCCTGCGGTGAGATTTGAATTTGGAGACCTGACATAAACACACTTAGACAATCAGTAAATGTTAAAGCGAGAATAATGGTATTATCCCAATTGATAATACAACCATAGACAACGAAGCCAAGCTTAATTTAGCATACTTACATCACACTTGCATAACTTCATACAATTCATTGTATTATCCTGATTGATAATACGACCCGAAACAACGAAGCCGAGCCAAATTATCATAACTACATTAGAATAAGCAAATACATTTGCATAACTTTATACAATTACACCTCCCTATCTAGCATAAAGTATGTGCACAATTACATAAATTAACATAATTTCGGATAATTACGTATATTTCCCTTTTTCACTTAATTTTTCTTATTTTTATTAAATTTTCAAGACCCGACATATACAACAACCGACTCGCCTGTAGGGGTGGAGGTTGAGTCGTCAGAGTCGCAGCAGGCACTGGAGCAGCAGCCGAAGTGGGAGATCGAGGGTGACTCCGGCATTCCCTCGCGAAGTGCCCCAGTCAGTCACATCGGTAGCAGGTCAAGGGCGGCCTTTGTGCCCCCGAGTCTTCACGCTGACATGGTCTCTCATTCCATCGGCGACGTGCAGCGTTTCCCCTTCTTTGATTCCACAGAGGAACCGCAGCGGCGAAATCACCTTCAGAAGACGTATCACCAGGCGGAATCTCGACGATTTTAGTCAGCGACCAACCTTTCGGTTCCCCGCCCCGATTACGGTCTCCTGTCCATGCCGCCATTTGAGACCATTGCTGCAGGCTCTCGTGAGCGTGACGACATCTGGCGGCCCATCGGGATGATTGTACATCGTGGCCACATGCAGGAAAAACCACGCCCATGTCTCTCGCCAGAGCCAGAATACTTTCCATGACAAGCAAGTCGAGGGCCTCCTGTTTCACGTCAGGGTAGGCGGCCACAGCCAACGCCATCAGCGCACTACGTTAAGAGGTGTCTTGGAACTCCCTCGCCTACATTGCATAAACTTTCATCGCGTGTCGGAAAGTGGCTCGTAAACTTCTGCCGTATCGGCATACGCACCTTGTAACGTTGACTTCTTTTCTCGAGGGATAGACCTAAAAACAGCCAGGGCGTCGTCATCTAATACAGTCGATAGAGCGACCAGCGCATCCTCTTCCGTCCAGTGTACCGAACGTAACGCCGCCTCAAATCTCCAAGTGAAGGCGCTCCAGTCACCGACAGCCATGACGAATTCTTTAACATGTGAGAGTCATCGGGTGCGATCAGCACCGCTTCGCCCGACCTCTGCGGCGGCCCCCGCATCTTGATACCAAGTGGCCCATCCAAAATAGCAGGCTCCGACCGCTCCCTTGCTGCGCCGTCTGAAATCGCGGCATACTGCCACGTGGTTTCCTCAGCGCGTGTAATGGCAGACGTCGCCTCTGCAGGAGAACCTGCCGAGATTCCAGCCTCGAACCTCCGGTTGCTACCTCCCGGCGATGCATCAGGTGGATGCTCCGCCACCGTAGACATCGCGACGAGCGAAACCAACTGAAGTAACACTGCCCGCAATGATTATAGCTGCTCCTCCACCCTTTTCCAGCCGTCTTTGGCCCGCCACGGCCACGCCAACCGCCTCTGGTGCAGCGAGCTCACCCGTCGTGGATCCAGTAACCGGGACCATGGATCCCGGTGTCGGTAGGTCCTGGGTCCCCGCCTCATTGCCTCAGGTGAGTTCTGTTTCTTGAGATGTTTAGACATCCTCCGTAACTTGTAATATTATCTTCGTTTGAAGAACCACTTCTGACTCCAATGTAATACATGACTTCCACAATGGTTCTTGTAAGGGGTGCTTCTTTACTCAAATGTAGTACTGCACAGCTCCGCTCCTTCCTTCTGCCTGCGCTAAGTTACCCTCTGGCACCTACTGGATGCCGCTCTCTCATTACACTAGCAATGAATAACACAACTACCGAGGATGCTATACTCGCTCTAGTGTCGTTTTTCAAATGTTTGGTCTGCGGACCACTCAGCCGATGCAAACATCCTGGACTACGCAGCCCTCTGGTGACAAAACACATTCACTTCTCTCTCTAAATACCACATACAAAAGGATTCATATTATCAGAACATAAAAAAAACATTTTACGCAGCTTTAAGGGTTTTTTTTTGGGGGGGGGGAAGGCATTTAGATCTGAGGGTGAGGGTAGTTTAATCAGGGTAGTTTCCTTAACTTCATAAGTTAAATATCATAAGTTAAATATAAATTTGCATTTGCATCAGCCCCCAGACTACCTGGAGGACCGCCATGGTCCACTGGTGGTCCGGGGATCACACTTTGAGAACCACTGCTCTAGTGACACCACTCACGTTCTTTGACTTTGTCCTCATGGACCTTGATGTGCTGGTCACGGTCGCTGCGGCAGTGCTCATGGTGGAAGCCGAGCGCGTGCATGAGCTCGTGCAGAACCGTGCCCCTGTCCACCTTCCCGGGCTCCAGGGACATGGACTGAGCCCCTCCCTTCTTGCCCAGGAACGACCAGCTCCTGCTCACACAACACCGTGTATTACAATAAGATATACACCGACACTCCATAACCGGCACATCGACATCGGAGTAACATGATAAAATACAAATTCATATAATGATGAAGAATATGGATTTGGTCTGTGTTGCTTTACATAGTTTTCAAATTTTGCTAAACCCTGTTTGATTTAGTGTGATGCTCCTTCTCTCTGCATCCCCTGGTATATCTGTGTTAATTCCCTCTACTTAAGGTCTATATATATCTGCAGTTATGTGTTTCCTCTACCTGATGATGATTGCTTGTGTTGCAATCGAAACGTCGTATATTATGTAATTTTATTTTTTCTTATTTCTACGTGATTTTACCAAAAAAAACAAAGATGAAGAATATCATCACTAAAATGTATTGATGCTGTTAGCTTTAGCGAGTAGATGCATCTAGTGCTTTGAGATACGGTGCATTTAAGCATTTGATATTAAACATCCGTATTCATCTGCAATAATATTCTTGAAGAATTAATGTAAATGGTGTAAACATTATAGGCGTGTTTTTTTGGCCCCCTCTCCATCTCCCTACGACCCTTAGGTTGTCTTGGCCTCGCCTCCCCCCGGAAATTGGAACCCGCCGTTCGCGACTTGCGCTGTTTAACGTTGGGGAACATGATCCCTTTGGTGCCACTGTTGGCCCCATTTAGAGTCGGAAAGTTCGAGCCCAACTGTCAGCTTCGTTTACACGTTCTCACCTCCCCCCACCCCCTCGACGGCTGTTACTTCCCGTCTGTGATTTACCCGTCTTAGTATTTGGTTAGATGGTCATTATGCTGTTACTGTTGGCCTGTTACTGTTAACATTTGTATGGCTATCTTTTTCTATCTTGCTGATCCCCCTGCCTCTTACCTCCACCGGGGAGGGTTTTTTTTCAACCCTCTCCCTCCGATGACACTCTGTACTGTACTGCACTCATTGACAATGCAAGGCACACAACACGGGTCACAGCGGAATGCCTCACTTTATGGCTATCACCAGAGGACACAGATTCCCCCCTTGGGGGACTGGTGTTTGGCCCCCTCCCCAAACTTCCCCTCGCCAAACTCCCCCTCTCCACCCCTCAACCTCCGTGGGGTCAGTACTCACTATGCAGTCCAACATAGAAACTCGGACTTCTGTGGATCGGGGCCTCATAGTAGCCCCCTGGCCCTCAGACCCTCCCTACCCCCTTGATATACGATGCCACTGCCAGCTAATGGGGACACTTCCCTCCGCATCTCGGTGAGGCAGGAAGGTGAGGTTGTCCGACTGAACGTCATCTACCTGAACGTCAATGGCCATAACCAGCCTATAAAAATACCTTCATTCAGGAAACCATCTCACTGAGCCCGAGTCAGCTAAGCTTAAGAGTGGCTGGGTGTGGGACAGGTTTTCCATTCTTCCCATTCCCAGGGTAGCAGGGGAGTAGCCATTCTGATCCATAAGAGAGTCAACTTCCACCCCTCCTCTCAAAAATTACCCTCAGGGCGATTTATCCTGGTAGATGGCTCCTTTACAGGGACAGATCTTATCTTGCTGAACACCCCCCCCCCCCCCTCACTCTAGGTAAACTCCAGGACGTTCTCCTCAATAGCAGCACTGGTAGGGCAGATAGAGCATGAGATAATTGTGGGAGGGGACTGACTGGGATATCACGGTAGAATCTATTACTTTTTAATCTAAAAAACCCTCCTTCCTTCGCTCTCAAAATAAAGGATACTTGACCAACAGCTTTTTTTACCACTGTCCTGTTCTTACACAGTTTAATCTGGACCCCACTGAAGAATCCCATAGCACATGGGCCATGGACACCAGATTATTGAAGGATGTGGGCCTATTAAAGAGAATCAGAAATGAGATCATCTCCCCCCCCAATCTTTCCTCTGGTGGTCTGGGATGCCCTTAAAGCTACCCTCAGGGGCATTTTAATCTCATAAGGAGCCTGAGGAAGAAGGCAACCCAATCTCGTGCAGTCCAAGAGGTCAATAGACTAAAGCTGGAATAGACAAGGTGTTAAATGACCAAACCTCCCTCCTCTTTATGAGGGCCGAGATTCCGTTTCACAACCCCTCTCCCTCTACGACCAAGCTCTTAGCCCGGCTGGTCAAGCGCAAACAAAAAATCATAAACATATTACTGGGATCAAGGATGCCGATGGGCGCCTTAGGATGAGGGCAGCAGAGTTTAATGAGAAGTTCTGCAACTTCTACAAGGACTTGTACTGGTCAGACCTTCCATCGAGCCCCGAGATAGAGAAATTCCTACTTTAGACTCCCCTACCCCATTTCTATCCAGAATGGAGGCACGAGACAGGGATACCCCCTATCTCCCCTCCTCTTTGCAATTTCAATTGAGCCTCTGGCATCCAGGATACGAAATAGCCAGGAGATATTAGGTATATGCTACGGGCAAGTTGAAAAGAAAGTCATTTTATATGCGGATGATTTTCTGATTACCATTTAAGCAAAATCGTCGCATGTCGCTGGATAAGGGGCCTGCTTGCCTAAGGCACATCACGGAACATGCTGCCAAGGCTGGGGATGGATGCAGTACCAGCGCCAGAGGAAAGGGGGCAAGGGGGGCCTACCCGAGGACCCCCCCGCCCGAAGGGAGGCTGAGGGGACCATGTGCCCAGGTGGGGATCCCTACTAGGGGGCCCAGAAGGGGGGCAGGGCTGAGGGCGGAGCAAGCCCCGCACGGGGGATAAAAAGCGGGTCCCCTGTTGGGACCAGGAGAGTTGCTGCAGAAGAAGCTAGGTCCACGTCTTAAGAGGAGCTATCCCGGGGCCTCGGACCTGAGTGGGACCCGAGGAGGGATAGTTAGTGGGGTGTGTGTTAGGGTAGCTAGCCCGGTGGGTTACCGCTGTGGCGTAACTGGCAAAGGGGCAGTTACCCCTTTGTGTTAGCGTGAAATAAACGTGTTGCCTCAAACGTGACGAATTTCCATTTATACCCACCACAACTGGTGTCGGAAGTGGCCAAAGTTTACTTGAATATTAGACTTAGGTTATGGAAACTAGATGTAGAGGACGTACTATATCTCTTGGTGAAGAGGACGAAGAAAAGACGGCTTCGAGGGTGGCTACTCCGGAGGAGGAGGGAGTGGTGCGGCCAGGGAAGCTGCACGCCGCCCGGCCGCACGGTGGCTCGCCGCCATCGGGGAAGATGCTCCAGGCAGCTCACTAACACCTCGCCGAGCTCCTCTATGCCGCGGCGTCAATTCTGGACGAGATCCACCATGGAGTTTACGGCGGAGGAGAGAGAGATGGAGCCGCGCGGCGGTGGAGTTCAAAAATTTGCTGCTTCCTGCCGATTCCCATCACTAACCAGGAGCCAACGCGGTTCCCGCCAATTGGAGGCGCCCGCGGCGCAGCCAGCGGAAACTGCTGTCATTTTGTTGGTGGAGCTGAGTGGAGTGCCCGCCAAAAATGAGCCTGCTCCGTGATCATCTGAACATGCTCCATCTCTTCAACGTCGCCTGCCCATACTGAAATTATTCTCAGCCACGGGGGCGACTGGGCAGCCGTCCAGTGGCGCTTCCTCTCCAACTGTGAGATGGCGCGTTCGACGGAGGTGGAGGCACTGAGGGCGCTTCCCGTCGCCCTTGAAGAAAACGCATTGGCGGCGTTGGTCACCATCCTGCCAGCGGACAGGGCAACGCATCATCAAGCGCTCGAGCAGATGGCTGCTATTTATGGACCACCGTCCAACACACGGCACCGATTCGCTGAGTGGAGGCGGGGGGAGACCGAAACCCCCCTTGCCTACCGCAGCGCACTGCTGGTGTTGGCCAAAGTCGACTTCCCCAAGATGGACCAGGAGGGTCCCGACGTCCTTGTGCTCCAGAAACTGCTGGCGTTGGTGCGGAGCCTGAAAGTCATCAACCATGCCATCGATGACGACGACCTGTCCTCCCTCACCGCCATGAAGTGCATTCAGGCGCACTTACTCTCATAACGTGAGACAGGTCTGGTGGCGTGGGTTGCCCCTTGTGAGGTGCGGGGTACGCCGGACGACGAGGAGCCTTCTCTCGCCTGCGCTGCGACTCCAACCGGGTGCGGCGTGTCGGGTCAGCTCTCAACAACGGGGGAGGACGTTGCCTCGTCCGGAACGCGGCCTCACCATCTGTTACAACTGTGGTCTGTTGAGCCATGTCTCATTGGGGTGCCATGCGCCGCGACATCTTCCCGCCCGACCGCAACGGTCGTCGACCCGACTGTCCTCCTCTCCGCTCTGATCTCAGGTGAATCGCGGCTCCCCACTCACTCAGCCCCTGATTCAACCTCACTCATCTCATCGTGCCGGTTGGTGTTCTTGTCAGGTCTCGGTGGTGGGGGGTCCGGTTTGTAATTGGCTGCTCTGACTGCGTCAGTGGTCGGAGCTGGCTCACAGGGTTTTGTCCGCGGCTGCGGGGTTGTCTGTTATCATGGTTCCATCGAGGGGGTCCATGTTAGGATACTTGTCAACACGGGAGCATCGGCGACCATCGTTTCAGATCTTATTTATAATATTTTGCCCGATAAATGCCGTGGGTTATGCCCCGTCAATGTGCCCTACTGTGCCACTAACGGGGGCTCATTTGGTATTGTCTGAAAAATGACAGTGCAGGTCTGTATTGGGGACATTAAGTTGACCCGTCCGTTCCTCGATTCCTTGTCCCTGGCCATTCTTTGTTTGCTTGGGACCGATTTCTCGGGAAAGATGCCCGTGGCCAATGCTACTGTACCAGCGCTCGCATTGAAATCAGTGCGGATTCCCCCTGGGGCGCAAATGATGGTCTCCTTGCGCTTACGCAAGCCACTGGATCAGGCGACGACTGCTGGGGGGATCCTCTTGGGACCCTCCAACAGGGCTGTTCGGGGATTGTCCCTGGTCGCGGCACAAACCCCAGTGTCCACCACCCAGGAACCCTTAATCCAGGCTCTCAATGCTGGGTTGAAAACTTCGGTCGTTCAGCAAGGCACTGTGCTTGCGCATGCGTCCCCTGCACTTC